GTCCACAGTACTGAATGTATGTAAGTCGCTTTGGATAAAAGCGTCTAACAAGTAACATGTAATGTTAATTACAAACCCAACATAGTTTCATACATCGACACAGGCTCACTATTTGGCAAGACGACTAAGCCTTATATTGGCTACATAGCGAGAATCAACTCTGAGCAACGGATACCAAGGATGCTGGCTGATGAAGAACACGAAGTAAGCTAGGTAGCCAATAATAGGCTTAGCACTACAGATACATGTGGGCTCATTATTTGGCAAGCAACCGGTCACAGTTGCCCTTTTTATCTCATGTCTTATAAAAGCTTATTAATGATTTATAAAGTGTTCACAACCTAATTAATACATGAATTACAAACTATTCGTAAACCCTTTATAAGGGTAGTCTTATTGTAAAGTGGTAGCGATTCTTCTGTAAATGTTCACATTAAAGCAGTTTACTGTGTATTTTGTGCGATTTCAACACATTCTTAAACGCTCACAGTTCTCTGTTGGGATCAGAGCACAGTTGGGTTACCAGGCGCTGAGGACAAAGTTCAAGTAAACTACAAATTAATGTTTGATTTAAAAATATTTAAGCTAAAGGATTTACTGGGGGGATCTGGACTCACGACCCCTCTGTTTCTCTTGGCTACAGCTCATAGTATTACAAGGATTTGTTTTTTATGTCTTTTCAATCAAGTGTGTCAGAGAGACAGCTGCTTCTCTTCCAGCCTTCCTTTATATTAACGGTTAGTGGAGATCAGGAACCCTTGAGCAGAGAGAGAACCAAAGTAACCAAAGCCTGTGCAGGAGCAGTGGGCGACTGAAAACTTAAACAAAAATGGCTCTAATCTTAACACAGAATAAATATTGTTACATTAAATATAAAATGTGAGGAAATACTGCTGGTATTGCTACTTTTTGCTCTTTAACTAATATGAACCGGCTTCTTTTAAATGAATAACATGAACACTGAAGGTGCGAGGAACAGCTTTAAAAAAGTTTGGATTTACTCTTTGAGCCTCTGCTGTTATGTGATGGGATTTAAATTCCATAACAGGTCAAAAGTCTCCTCTCCCACTGTCCCCTGGGCTGTTTGCTTACATCAGTTCACAAAAAGTGGAGATACATCCAGGGGGGAAACTATAATGAGAGCAGAGCTGAGAGTGTAAGACAAAAGGAAAACTTTAGATCAAGAACAAACGAGCCATGTTGAGGATGAAGTGTGTTTCTGTCGCTGTCCTGCTGAGTCTTCTCTCTCTGGGAGACTCTGCTCCTCTGAACAGCTGTGAGAGTCTGCTGAAACCCATAACTATCAGCAATGAAAATGTAAGTGCACTTCTGCTTTGCTTATAGGTTTCATCTGATAATATTAGACAACAATACACATGATCCACATTCTCATAGCTTAACAACCTCTGACTTCATGTTTGAAGAGAACGGTAATTATGTTTTTAGTGATGGAAAACTGGAAGCATAACTTACCTGTGTTTCTTTTTCAAAAATGTCCCAAATTGGGATCAATAATGTTCTATCTTATCTCTTATCTTGTCTTTTTATGCCATTTTGTGAGAAAGAAAATCAATTTAAATTCTGTAACTACATCACAAAAAAAGATTGTTCACTTTAAAACTGTTTCAACCACAAGAAATAGTTAAAAGCCCCAAAATAAGACTTGCCTTTCAAATGTATTCTGATGAATGGCAGTAACCTTCAGTGTTACAACTCCTCTGTCCTTTCCCAACACATTTAGCAAAAATAATTAATGTGTTGTTCATATGCCACGGTTTCCCTGAATTGGTCAATGAACTTTCTAGGTCCCAGACATTTCTGAATGCCAAAGCAATGGGCGAAGTCCACCTAGACTTAAGCAAACACTTATTTTGGCACTTCCTCAGTTTCCCAATACTTTGATAGGAAGTGTCCTGGAAAGAATCATGCAATAGGGGACAAAGTAAAAGAAAACACAAGTGTCCCTTGAAGAAAACTGGGATCTGTATGTTATGCTGGTCTGTTCTAAAATCTTACATTTTTGCATAATCAGCTGACCTGCTGCTCAATGACGAAAAGTCACTTTGTAATTATGTAAACACTGTTTCTAATTTTCATGTTATTACTCTATGAATGTTCTTTTCAGAAAATGATTTGTACATTTTTAGGAAATGTTTCCGACCCGACCTTGAATGTGGACTTGTGATACAAAGCTTTCCCAAACATAAATATCGCATCATTTTGTTCAATAGTTTCAAGAGCATTGTGGGATCTCCAAATGTTTATCTAAAGTTATATTTCCCACAATATATCAAACAAAGATATGTCTCCCTTGAGCCCTTACAAAGTCCCGTCTCTAAATGTTGACTATTCACGACATGTCTTGTGCATCTTTGGTTTTCTTTAGATGATGGGAAAGTGGCTGTACGTCGGGGGGAGTTCGGACCTCCCTGGAAGTCGCTCTCTGGGTCGTCTGATGTCCAGTGCCTGGCTGGACATCACTGCAACCTCTCAGAGCAACATCCTCAACATCATTCAGACTCAGAGAATGTAAATCCCCACACACACTCTCACACGGCTGAAGTGTCTCCTGAGAAGTTAGTCCTCTCCAACCAATAGGCTTCCCTCAGGGGTGTATAAAGATACATTCTTGTTATTGACGTAGTTTTGCTTTTGCCACATGGTAGTATTGACAATGTTCAAGTAATACACACTCAAACGTGCTTCATTGTCAGTTTGCAGACCTTCAGTTTTTTTTGTAACATGACTTTGTTTAGCATTTTAATTATATTGTATGTTTGGAGAGTAACAAAGGTGTGCATGGTCTATATCACATCACAGGCAAATTTGATTTACGGTAACTCTTGGGTTGATGTTTTTGGCTTTTTCAACGTTTTTGGCCACTTGAGAGCAGCTGTTACACAACATGTACTATCAGCTTAATACGTTTAAGCAATAGCTCACGACAGGCCGTGGTATATGCTCATTATATCACAGCTAAGGGGCGTGGTTCGGCCCGACGCGAAGCGGGCAGTTTGCTTTTCAGCCCAACGGTATACTGTTTTTCTCAGACGCGGAGGGATACTGACTTGTTGTGAAAAGTAACTTACAATTCTACCCGTGGTATACGCTCAGTATATAACGGCTAAGAACCAATCAGATTGCTTGATTTGACTTGTCCGTTTTATAATGTTATACATGCCATGGATAGCCTTCATTAGGGTAGTAGAGTAACTTACTAAAGTCTCCGTCATGATATGTTGTTATGATTCAGCCTTTATTTTCCCTTTTTGCAGATATGGAAAATGTTCCAGCTTAGTATTCAATGTGACCTTTGAAAACAGCACGATGGTAATTGGTGAGTGAAGAAGAGCCATAAAGTTTCAGAGATATTATTTAAAGTAAAAACCTTCATTCAAACATGCACATTACTTTTTAATGTATGCGTCCGTTTGTGGGTGTGTGGTTTCTTTCTCTCCAGAACAACCTTTCTACCTGAGGGAGGTCTACCTGCCGACTGACTGCTCCGACTGTCTGGTTGTATATGAAGAAGTTATCTCTGGCGGAGACACTTTCACCAGTCTCATGCTTTTTAGTAAGAATCTCACTTATCATGTCCTGAAACACTAGAGTGACTCTTATTGGACACGGTAACGCAGCCGACTCGTTTTCTAATGAAATGTTCTTTATTTGCAGGCAAGAGACAGAGTGTCTCACCTGATTTTGTGGAGATGTTTGAGGCACAAGCAGAATGTCTACGGATGCCGTCGCCCATAATGATAGACACAGATTACGGTGAGAATTGTAACTTTGTATCTCCACACAGTGCCTGCATAATGCCATAGTTGTTTGTTTTGTGACTTGATGTTTATCTACACAGAAATCTGCCCAGACAACATTGCGCCCTCAGAGGGGATCAGCGCCCTCAACTCCTTATTAGAGGCAAAGATGGGACATCGGGTTGCAAAACTCCTGGATGCTTTTTTTGATGCGTTTGTGAACTGATGACTAGCTTTGTATGAGAAAGTAAATATTTTCTTTCCTGATATACACAAGTATTTCAGAAGAATTTAATAAAGTAAGATGGAGGAACTGCCCTGCTTTCTTCTAATTTGTTTGACAGCAACACTAACAATACGACACATTAAGAAGACAAATAAGAAAACTATCACACTGCAGTTAATATTCTACTTGAAAGTAGTCGTGAATATTTTATTCATTTTCTTTAAAGTACAGTAAGTTCTGGATGAAAAACAAATCAAATTAAATTGCATTATTTCAAAATCAGTTAATCAGAATTAGGCCAGAGATATTGATTAAATGATTTTGTACGGTAACACTGAAAATGATTAAAGGTCAACTTTTTTTCCAAGTGAAATATTAACATTAAGTCCCAATAGAAAGTAAAACTCAGTAATTCACGTTGTAGACATGTAGACTCCTCAAAATAAAATAAAAAACATTCGGCTCTAGATAGAAAATGACATTCTTTACTCAGTCACAGATCTGCTATGGGGCTGTGCCAGTAGGGGTCACTCCAGCTCTTAATGTCAAACTGAAGCTAACTGCTGATGGATAACAACAACTCAACTGAAATTAGATGAAAGAGTTACATACTGTGACTATTTAGCTCTTTAAACACGGTGAGTGGCTGCATTACCAGCAAAAAAAACATTAAACACTGCCAACAACACACACACACCAGTTTATATGACCCTTTGAGGAACACAAAGGAAATACGTTGCTGTTATTTCTAGTTTCAGTAATTATTTGTCTTTGTTAGAGTAAGCACAGGGCATATTCAATTAACCCTAACTTATCAAATGTTTGGATGCCTAACAGACATATTTCACCTCATCCACCTCACTCCACCAGATTGCAACACATGTGTAAACAACTCCTGACTCCACCTGGAATGGGCGTCTAAACCATAGACTATATTTATAAAGGTTTCAGCTTGAAGCAGACACAAACAGCCTCAAGCTACGACCAGGATCTTTGTTTGATAGATTTGGTTAGACATGATGAAATGTGTCCATGTTGCTGTGGCTGTGCTCAGTCTTCTGTCTGCTGGACAGTCAGCTCCCGTGAGCAGCTGTGAGACTCTCATCCATCCGATTGAAATCAATGGAAGAGAGCAGGTAAGACAATTTCAAGACACTCTATCACTTTCTTTATGTTACAGCTTTTTTTTAAATCAGTGCTTTAATGTAACTATTTCTCATCTTATGGGACAAACTGTCTGTTTAAGTTGCTGGGAAATTGGACGGCCATTGCAGAAGGCACAGACGTCCCTTCAGCTAAATTGCTGACCAATTTGTTAATGGCGAGCGTGAGGCTGAACATCAATGCTGCTAATGAGAGTGATGCCATAAATGTGATGCAGTCTCAAAAAATGTAACTTAAAGCCTAATTTTATTTAAGATCATTTTGGAGCCAAATAAAGAAACTAAACATTCAGTGTGTAATTTCAAATGTCTGTTTATTGAAAGACTTGGCCGCTGCTACACTTTCACAACTCAGATGACCTTAGTGAACAGCACTCTCCCTTTGGGTGAGTAGTATTAAACATTTTGACTGAACCTGCACAAACACATTTGGACTTTGTGTCCAACATTGCCACATCACTTTGTTTATTTATTGATGTGTTTCTTATGTGTCCCCAGCACAACCTTTCCCTCGTTCTTTTGTCAGTCTGAGGACTGGCTGCCCTGACTGTCTCATTGCCTCCTCGAAGTTCACTATTGGAGGACAAACATACAGAGTACTCCAGCTTCTGAGTATGATTCAAGACACACTGAAAAATAAATGTTTTACTTTCAAAATCATTATACAGATATTTTTAGGTAGGGACAATTGTTTAACTCACCACCATTAACTAGGGAATTTAAGTACTGACCATGTAACCACTTAAAGGGCCAGAGGCATGATAAAGTTATTAAAAAGCAATGCTTAGTTAATCCAGATTACACTTGGAGTTCAACAGAATACATACTGTATATGTGCACTGCTGTGACTGGTCCGCCTACATTGACTAATGCATGAGATACCAATACTTGTCATTCTTGAACGTTCATTATATTTCTTGAAATACTACATGAATTAATTAATGTATTTTTTACGTGTGAATTAAGTTAAGCAATAATTCATTACAATTAATGTGACCTTACCAAAAAGAGTTATCAAAATGTATATCTGTGTTTTAATCATAACAAATTGATGTTATTGTAAATTACATTTAGTCTATCTTTTTGAGTTTCTCTGAAGTTACTGACTGAACCTGCGAGTAGTACTGTGCGCTCCGTTACATACAGTTCTGTCTCTCAGGCAGGAGGAATACTGTGAATGCTGATGAGCTGAAAGAGTTTATGAGGCAGGCAGAGTGTTTGAACTTACCATCACCCACCATCCTGGACCAAGAGACAGGTATGAACTGTCACACATGTTATCCGGCTTTAAGGCTTTGAAGCCATTTGTCTTTATTCATCAGTGTGTACTCTGCGGTTGTGCATATGTTTCGTTTTTTAGTTTATATTGTATCTGTGATCATCACACCTGTACTTTTCAATAGTCATACGATGTAAAGCCGCTGCAGCAATATTTCACAAGTGGTGTAACTATGCACACACATAACAAAGTACAGCCAGTATTCAAATACATGTTGTCAAATTAACTAAAACAAACAGGGAAACAAACAGCAGCTACAGTTACATTTGTATTAGATCTCATTATTTCACACAAACTTACTATTTTAAAACGACTTAAATATGAGACTGCACAGCATGGACACACACAAGTCAATCCATTTTTTGTCTCCTTTTATCCACGGTTAATAAACCATGAAATTCTCTCTTCCCTGGAATACATGTAATACATTCTAAGTTGTCTTCCTCACAGGTTTTTGCCCAGATGACTCTCCCTCCATAGAAGCAGCGACCACACATCTAACCAATTCCATGAATGACATGGGCTCTGAATTTTCCAAAACATTGGAAAGTATTATAAACAGTGATGCAGATCTCCAGAACCTTCTCAACACATTAAGAAGCAGCGTAGCTGGATTAAAAGAAAACTAAAATCCTCAGAAATGTCATGCCATGCATACACGATGGAGAGGCCATCTAAAGAGATGTCAATAAAATGATGATGAAAGAATATGAAGTATGATAGTAGTTTTCTTCTGTCTTTTATATATCATACTTCATATTCTTTCATCATCATTTTATTGACATCTCTTTAGATGGCCTCTCCATCGTGTATGCATGGCATNTAAGTAGGTAGAGGTGTGACCTGTCACAGCACCTGTCACTTTCTATGCATACTAATGAGATTGAAGCGGGATGAATAATACTACTGATGGCCTCTCCATCGTGTATGCATGGCATGACATTTCTGAGGATTTTAGTTTTCTTTTAATCCAGCTACGCTGCTTCTTAATGTGTTGAGAAGGTTCTGGAAACTAAAATCCTCAGAAATGTCATGCCATGCATACACGATGGAGAGGCCANCTCCGTGCTGTCCCCTCAGAGGAAGTGGGAAATGGGATAAGACCTCTGGACGCCACGCTGTCTCAATGATCCACACTGTTGATATGAGAGGAAAATAAATGTTTTAGGAAATGAAAAATATAAAGTTAACAAATAAAACACAGCTCAGGGGCAGTCATGGACGGTAGGTTTTCCTACAAAGTTAACTCAGCCACCATTGATTTTCATATAAAATTAGCGTGTTAATAAAATAAGCTATCATGGCTTATACTTGCATATCTAAACAGAATCATGAAAGCCTGTTGGTAGAGTCAGGCACACGAGTCCGTTTGAGTGTGTGCACCGGTGTCTAAACGCTCACTCACGGCTAGCTCTGTAGCTAACTGTAGGCTACTTAGCTTGCATTGTTATGGATCTAAAGGTAGCAAAAGGTAACTTTCATAGCACAGCTTTTCTTTACTTCTCACTTAACACAATAAAGAAACAGACCATATAGTACAGCACAAACAACACAAATGATCAATACTTACACATATTTTTACTTGTAGTATTATAATAATTGAAATGCTGGTTCTTCTGGGGGTGTTCTATCGACGCTCAGCTACCGCAGCACAGCTGCACTGTACAATCGCTGGAGGACTGGGCTGTCACTCAAAAACTGAGTAGCGAATGGGGACGCACCCCTGAAAGTCCCGCCCACCTGGGACGTTTGTGTCAAAATCGAAAACAAAAAATGAGGGAGCGCAAACGAGAAGAGCTGCAGCGAGAGCAAAAGTCTGATAATTGAGAAAGAAGACAAAGAGAAATGCAAACTAAAAGATATGTTAAAACAAAGAAAAAAGACTTATAGTTTGTTTGCAACTTATAGTTTTATTTTTGAAATTTAATTTATTTTGCTTGACTCAGTTTCTTTTCTCTTAAACTCTTATGGCGCATTCACACTGCAGCGCGGAGCTCGCTTTAAGCGTGCCGAGCCGTGCGGGGCCAGTTTTTGGTTGCGCTTCCACTTGGCCTAGTATTGGCCCGAGGCTACTTTTTCACCTTTTTTCTGGCCCTACTAAATCGTGGTTCAATCAAGCGGGGCCAACAACCGGGCGGAATATGCTAAACTAGTGACGACTGCTGATTGGTCAGAGAGAATCGTCACATTTCTCGCGCGACTTAATCCCTAGTGTCGCATATATTAAGGGACTCTTGCAGCATTTTTGAAAACAGTGAACCTTGCCGCATTTTTGAAAACAGTGAACCTAAGAAGAAAAAACCACATACCAAGAAGCAAGGACACGATGGCTTCCACATCCTCCATTGTTGTTGTTTGTTTTGTGAGTTGTGTCGCATTGAAGATGATGTCACGGCAGTTGTATGCAGCGTCGCTCCGCCCGCCAAAAAGCCGATCGCCCCGCCTACACTGCGTTACTAAAGTAACTACCCCAGTTCCTAAACTGTAATGTGAGCGCAGCATTAAAGTGAGCCGGGCCTAATAAGGCCTAACCAAACCGAGCGAGGCCGAGCGAGGCCTGCAGTGTAAATGCACCATTAGTTTTGCTTGATTCTGAGAAAGTGTTGCTTTATCTTTATGAAACAAAACTAATCCCATACCCCGGAGTATAAACATATCAAGTCAATGCATCTGTTATTGTATTCCTGTATAATTGTTTTCGTATGTGTAAACCACTTTGTCGCATTAGTTTTGAATAATGCTACTTAAATATACATGGTTGCATGTTAGAAGAGTCAGGACAGCCATGTTTGTTTTAGTTTCAGTGATAATGTAGTAGTGATAGTGATTAATTGAAGACAAGCCCTGAGGAGCACACACACAAAGTGGTGTTGCATTTCTAGGCACAAAGTTGTATTGTCCGTCAAATTTGCACAGCATGTTTCATTAATATGTTACCCAACTGACCTGTTTAAATGTTTGCTATGGCTCCAAAAAAGGGGGTAAGAGTTTAAAGGTAGAAGTCGACTTTGGATTGACCAAAAAATCCACGTGCCCCACAGGAAACTGGTATTAATAAAGTTCATCATTTCCAACATTCAGATTTCTGTGTGCCTTAAAAATCTGGGTTTGACTGATGGTCTTTACCACTTTTCCTACTCCACGTTATTGCTGCCCAAATGACAAAACGTTTTGAGATTGAAATATAGACTGTTGTTTATGATCTTAAGTGTTTGTGCTGAGAGGCTTCACCAAAGTTGTATTCCACTATGATACCACAGTTTGATTATTAAACAGTCTTTGTATTTTCTTTTATATTTTTCTTTTCTCTTTACTAATTATATGTAAATGTTGTGAATTAAGTTGTCATTATTTTTTGTTATGATCTGTTTGTGCAGCACTTTGGTCGGTCATAATGACTTTTAACATTTTGTTCGGTAAATAATGTTAAATTAGCTGACTCGTCTGTTTTGAGCGGGTTGTTTTTGAAAGTCACCTGAATTGTAACATGTTTACAATGTTAACCTGATTGATTGTCTTGACTTAGCTCAAATATTGGTAACAATTTGTAGATCCTAAATCAAATCTTAATATTGTGAAGTACTTACTCAAAAAAGTAACAATCTTAATAAATAAACGACTGAAATGTATAAAAGACAGAAGAAAACTACTATCATACTTCATATTCTTTCATCATCATTTTATTGACATCTCTTTAGATGGCAGTAGTTATATTCATCCCGCTTCAATCTCATTAGTATGCATAGAAAGTGACAGGTCACACCTCCCCCATTATGCTAATGAGCTAAGTCCCGCCTCTCCGAGGTGTGAAATCTCAAGTAGGTGTGAGATCTCAAGTAGGTGTGAGATCCGTCGATAG